TAGAAAAATATTTGGAATTAAAGGTTGCTCAATGGGACGGAAGCTATATTTGGTACTGTAAACATAAGCCAAATACACATTGCTGGAGAGGTGATAGATCCTAGAGAAAAACCTCCTTTTGCCACATCCCTAGACCAACATAATTTCTAACTATATTCTAAATACACATCCTCATATTTACAGACAAGTGTACCTCTCACCACTCAAACAAAGAAGCTCCTTTTCTGCAACAGATGAAGACTAATACAGAGTTCTACAACTAGTCAAGCACAGAGAATAAGTGTTTGTGAGATGCTTAGCCCTAAGTGACACATCTTCAATGCAACTTCTATACATAAAAATCAACGCTCATCAGAGAGGTTCCCATATGCAGATGATGATTAACACAGAAACCTACGACTGGCCAGTGTGCAGAGGACAAGAGGTTGCAAAGTGCTCATCCCTGAATAGGACACCTATTCCAAACTTCTGCCTCTCAAGGTTTAGGAATGATTGCAGAAGAGAGGTAGAAAGAGTGTAAGAACCATAGGTGGTAGATGATCACAAGAAACCCGAATTTTCCAAACAGGTGATCGGTTACACTTATGAACTCACAGCAAGGATGATAGCATGTACAAGTCCTACTGAAGCTCAAACCAGACAAAATTCCAGCATTGACATGGAGAAGTGGACAAGAAATCCCAACCCAACCTAGGGAACTTTATGCAACTGATGGCTACTGGGAGGGGGACAAACAGTCTCTTACAGGGATGAGACTCTCAGTAGGTTGACCAGGCTCCAGTGGATAAACCCATGCTGAAGGACATGTGGGAACACAAATCAGACTTTATAGGCCATATTGTATATACAGTGGAGTACAGTGAATTAGGCAGGGGTAGAGGGGGGAGATGCAGATGGGGAAGGGGAGCTAAATACCACCAAATTATATTCTATGAAAATCATAAAAATTCAACAAAAATTTAAATGCATTGTACGAAATTATCAAAGTCAATAAAAATACTTAAATTGAAAAAAAACTTCTAGTATTATAAGTATCCTACTTTTATCAGTGATCTGCCATAATGTTTTACCTATCAGTTGCTGAATAATTCCCTTTTCACAAAGATCCATGTTCACAGTCTCATCTTCAAGATAGACCATGGCTCTCAGGAGTCTTAAAGTATAACGCATTTGGGCAAATTTGTTCCCACGGCCTCCAGTACCATGAAAACTGTTACCATGACTAAAGAAGGAATCTGTGGAGAAAAATTAAGAATCTAACTTATACCAAGAAATCTAAAGCATAAAACATTTCAAGCAAATGTTTTCTTTCATAAATAAAATGATATACCAGATACCTTAAATATCTATACATTTAAACATGTTAAAATTGTCATATTTTCTTTATTTTTCTTTTATGTGTATGAGTATATTGCCTGTATGCATGTAAGTGCACCTGTGTCTTGCCATGCCCACTGAGGTCAGAAGAGGGCATTGGATCCTCTGGAACTGGAGTAAAGGATGGTTGTTAGCCGCCACGTGGGTGCTGGGTATCGAACCTGGGTCCTCTGCAAGAGCAGTCAGTGCTCTTAACCCTGAGCCATCTCTCCAGCCCCATATTTTCTTTGTTTTTCTTATACAAATGTTATCCTTCTCCCTCTCGTTCCAGTCTCAAAAGGGAAATACATGTTTAAATCTTACTCAAATATATCATTATTTGTATCTTTTGCAACATTCTTTTGTTAGTAAATAGCAAGTTTCTAAAACTGTCCATATTGGAAGCTGAAGAGATGGCTCAGGGGTTAAGAGCATATACTGCCCTTGCAGAGGACCTGAATTTAGTTCCCAACCCACATAGGGGAGCTCATACCTCCTTTAATTCTAGTTCCAGGGGATCCAACACCATTGCTGGCCCGTGTGGGTACCTATACTCACATATACCCCTCTCCCCATATACACACATAGTTAAAAATAAATCTTGGGCTGGAGAGATGACTCAGTGGTTAGGAGCACAGGCTGCTCTTACAGAGGACTGGGGTTCGATTCCCAGCACCCACATGGTGTTAACAACCATCCATAACTCCAGTTCCAGGGGATCTGACGCCCTTTTCTGAACTCCGCAGGCATTGTACAACATGGGTGCACTTACATACATCTAGGCAATACACTCATACACATAAAATAAAAACAATAAATAAAATATTTAAAAATAAGGATAAATCTCTTAAAAATTAGTCACATTGTCATTAGTAGACCTAGATTATTATTTTAGCTGTCTTCAGCATTCATTTAAAAACAGATATGCGAAGAGTTGGAGGGGAGGGAGTGGGCATGGATTTGATCAAAACACCTTATATACGTATGAAATTCTCAGTAAAATTTTTTAAAAGTTAAAAAAATGAACAAAAAAAAATCACAATTTAGCCATCCATTAGTGCAAACTGCCACAATGAACATTCTGTCCTTGTCCTTTACTGACAAGTCCTAGTGATATCAAATCATCCAGGGTATGCTCAATGAATCTTATGGAAGTTACCAAATGAACATAATGAATAAATTCCTTTTGGAGGGGGGCAAGTCTGTTAAGTGAGAACTGGTAGTTCATTTTTACCTTAATCTGCATTTCCCTTATGTCTTCTTTGGTATAGTATTTTAAAATGTTTTCAGAAAATCTGAAATGTCTTGTATGGCCTGGCAATCTTATCTTTTTGTTGTTATTTTGGTACAGGGTCTCCCTGTGACCCCAGCTGGCCTGGAACTCATGATATAGACCAGGCTGACCTCAATCTCTGAGATCTGCCTGCCTCTGCCTCCTGAGTACTGGAATTAATGGTGTACACCACCATGCCCAGCTCAAGTTTTGTAATTGTTAAATACATGAATCTTTTCCTGTGCAGCTTAAGCTCCTGTGTCTAAAATATTTTTTCTATCCTGCTTTCTAACAGATATTTTCTTGTATCTTCTTTTAAGAATCTTATAATTTAGATTTTTATTAACGATTTTCAACTTAATCTTTAAAAACAAAGTCAAAATATCTAAATTTTACTTTTTTATGTGGAGGATCAACTGCTTAAGTACCAGCCTTCTCTCATGACTGTATCTCAGAAAATGCCAACCTCCCACTTATTCAGTTCCATTGGTCTATTCAAGGCACAGTATACCACAGCATTTTGATTGCTATAGCTTTGTTACAAACCTTGATAAAAATCAAGGAAAATCCTTTTAATTTCCTTTTTGAGACAGTCTTATGTGTCCCAGGGTGGTCTTGAACCTGCTATGTACCTGAGGATGGAGTAGCACTCCTGATCCTCCATCTCTTAAGTGCTAGGATTATAAACACACGCCAACAGGCCAGGTTTTATGACATGCTGGGGATTGAATCCATAGCTTCATCAGTTCTAGGCAAGAACTCTACCAACTGAGCTAGATTCCCTTTCTTTTTATAATACATTTTCTTTAAAAGGTTGTTCCAGTGGAGAGATGGCTCAGTGGTTAAGAGCACTGGCTGCTCTTGCAGAGAACCCATGTTCAGTTCCCAGCAGCCACATGGTGGCTAACAACTGGCTAACAACTCCAGTTCCAACACCCTCTCTGACCTCCATGGCCATTGCATGACATAGGTGCACTTACATGTATGCAGGCAATATACTCATACATACAAAAATTGAGAAAAAAAAGGTCTCTCTGTAGCCCCAGCTGACCTGGAACACTCTATAGAGACCAGGCTGGCCTCAATCTCATAGTGATGTGCCTCTCTGCCTCTTGAGTGCTGGGATTAAAGAGTGTTCCACCAAACTCAGGTTTAGAAGCAGCTTTATGTTTAAGATTTTTTTAAAAAAAATTATTTTATGTGTATGCATGTATTGCCCGCATGTAGGTAAGTACACCCCTGTCGTGCAATGCCTACAGAGGTCAGAAGGGGCTGTTGAATCTCCTAGGACTGGAGTTACGGACAGTCGTTAGCTGCCATGTGGGTGCTGGGATGCAAACCTGGGTGTTCTGCAAGAACAACCACTGAGCCATCTCCCCAGCCCCATGTTTAAGATTTTTAAAAAAATTTTAAGAACTAAAGTGTGTTGGTTAAAAGTAGTTTCTAGAGTTTGGGTTAAATCTTTGCTGTCTCTCTCTTTTTTTTTTTTTTTTTTTTTTTTTTTGTCTTTTTGAGAGACAGGGTCTCCCTGTGGCCCCAGCTGTCCTGGAACTCACTATGTAGACCAGGCTGGCCTTGAACTCACAGAGATCCACCTGCCTCTGCCTCCTAAGTGCTGGGATTGAAGGTGTGTGCCACCACGCCTGGCTTCTTTGCTGTGTTTTATGTGGTGCATTACTTAACTTCTCAGACTGAGTTCTATCCATCTGAGAAACCAGGGGCAATCAGGGTAAGTACACCTCTTAGATTGTTGATAGGACTAAGTGAGAGTGACACCTCCAAGATGTTTAAGGCCCAGCATACAGTAACATTCAATAATGGCTAGCTATTTGTTTTCTTCCTAATAGGCAGCATTTTCCATTTTTGCCTTAGAGTCCTCTGTAAATACAAATGATGTAATGGATATTTAAAAAAAGAACAGTTTAATTTAATTAGTAATTTAACAAGACTAAATTTAACAACTCAATATATTAGAAGCTAAAGAGTAACAAGGATAAAATGTTTTTTGCCCTCATGAATGGATAAGTGATTCCCTCTATTTTTTCAGACAGGTTCATGCTATGTTGCCCAGGCTTGCCTCAAAGGATTCTCTTGCTCAAGGGATTCTCAGCTCAGCATCTGGACTATGAACAGACACGTCTGGGTCTGACTCATCTTGATATACTGAAAATGCCTCTTATAAGTATCAGCAACTGAAATAGAAGCTGATTCTTAGTAGACAATAAGTATTTGTTGAATATATTAAAATATTCTCCAGATTTATTTCCTTCCTAAATATGAATTTTAGATATGACTCACAATAATTTAAA